GCCCCCCCCCCACCCCCCCCCCCGCCCCCCCCCCGCCGCTCCAGCAGGTAGCAGCTGGGGGGGCGGAGGTGGGCGTCGGGCGCGGGGCACCACCGCAGCAGCGCCGCGTTGCTCTCTGCCACACTCATCTCGGCTGCCACCGGTGCACTCGGGGGGTCGTGCTTCACACCTGCAAGAACCAGACAGTGTTGTCTGGTTGGGGGTGGCAGAGAGGTTCCAGCTAGGGGGGGCAGAAGGGCTGAGTGGGGCTACAGATCCTGTCTCTCTGGGAATCCCCTGTCTGATGGAGAGGATGGTCTTTCCCCTGTGTAGCACGGTGCTGGTTACAATGGTTTGTGAGTGCCAGCAAGGATGGGGATTTGAAGCCCTGCTAAATGCCTCCTTGCCCAATAAAACCAATGCAGCATCATGTCACAGTGTTGTGGGTGCCAATCCCTTCGCTCCCCCATGTCACCCTTCATGAATGGGCAGGATGGAGGACACAGGGCCCGTCCAAGCCTGGCACTTACACTTGACCCGGAGTTGTGAGGACGTTTGCGATTCCCCAGTGGTGAAGCAGATGATGCCTGCATCCTGGCGGGTGACATGCACCAACACCAGGAGGTGCGTCCTGCCAAAGCTCTTCAGCACGGTGCAGGGTGACTCCTGCAGCTGCTGCCCATCCCGGCTCCAGCAGATCCCCTCCACCGCATCCCGCGTCTCCACACAGAAAACTGCGTTCTCCCCCTCCATCACATCCAGCTTCCGTGGCAGCCGCTTTGTGATCACCCCTACAGGAAGAGATGCATGAGAGTTGAGGAGGGATGCTGGGAGCAGGGTTGGCTCCGCAGGGTGGGAGTGAGGTTGAGCAGGAGCAGCAGCATGGCCAATGCCAGGGGAAAGCAGGTGTGGGGAGCAGTAGGGAACCTAGCAAGAAGGGGGGTAGGAAGGCAAAGCCATACCACCAGAGAGACCTGCACCCCACCTCGGACGGACACCTCAGCAATACTGCGTCCCTTGTCCTTCATCTGGCAGAGGTAGATGCCGTCATCGTCAGTGCGGGCGTCGCGGATAGTAAGGCGCCGCAGCACACCTCGCTCCTCCATCATGTACTTGTGGCTGGGCTGCAGCTCCCTGTCTTCCAGGTACCAGGCAGTGGGGATGGTCTCCAGTGGCACCTGGCATTCTAGCACAGCATCCTCCCGCTCTGCCACTTCCACATCTGCCAACTGCACCTGGAAGCGCAGCCGGTGCTCTGCCGCCAGGAGAGAGGGACACTGAGGGTACGCAGGGCAGGGCACCTGCCCACAGCCTTTTTCACTGGGCTCTTCCAACTTGCAAATGGTACTGAGCCCTTAGACCCTCTCTGACCCTCTCTTCTTCATCTTGCATGGGACAGCCACTGCCCAGGGAAGCACAACCCCCAGAGTGGGGGGAACAAGGGCATGGGCTGGGGACGCTCAATAAAGCCCCTAGCATTTCAG